GAGGCTTTGCAGGGTGGGAATCTGCAGAGACAGATCTGTCACAGTTGTTTGGGAAGAGGCTTTGCAGGGTGGGAATCTGCAGATGCAGATCTGTCACAGTTGTTTGGGAAGAGGCTTTGTCTTTGTGTGTTGGGGGGTGGGGGTGAGGAAGGGGCACCGTGGCCTCTTTAACGTACGCCTGGCCCAGGAGAGAGGCGGTGGCCCGTCGTTTCGAGATGGTGAGGAACTCCTGATGGTGGAGCTGGAGGAACACAGCACATCAGAAGGAAGCAGGAAGGCTGACGTTTCGGGCCCTGGACCCTTCTTCAGGAACAAAATGAAGGGTCGAGAGGTGGCTCGGGCTGGTTGGATTCTGTTTATTTTATTAGAACGCTGTCCCGCGGCCTTCCCCCACCCCCCACCCCCCACGGCCCACACTCAGAAGCACTTGCGGTGGACAATCACCGGGCCCTTCTCGTCGTAGTCCCTCCGGCTGACCCACATGGACTGGAAGGTGTTGAGGCAGGCGGTGATGGAGCCGCCGATCCACACCGAGAACTTGCGCTGGGGCGAGGCGTAGACGTTGAGCTTGGCGCGGTGGGGGGCCAGCTCGCCCATCTCCCGCTGGACGCGCTCGGCGAAGCCCGAGAACATGGAGGAGCCGCCCGACAGCACGATGTTGTTGAGCAGCTCGGCCTGCTGCTCGGGCTTGCACTTCTCCAGGCTCTTCCAGGCCAGGGCGTGCAGGCCCGGGTCGGTGAGGCCTACCGCGTCGGGCTTGAAGAGGGACTCGGGGCAGCGGAAGCGCTCGTTGCCGATGGTGATGATGTGGCCGTCGGGCAGCTCGTAGTCGGTCAGGTAGTCGTTCTCGTTGGCGACCATCTCCTCGTCGAAGTCCTGCGCCACGTAGCAGCAGGTCTCCTTGATGTTCCTCACGATGTGCGTCTCCTCGGCGCTGAACGGGTTGCCGCACTCCTCCAGCAGCTTGGCCATGTATTCGGTCAGCCCCCCGCCGGCCAGATCCAGGCGGAAGGTGGCGTGAGGCATGGTGTAGCCGTTGTGGATGGGCGCCGTGTACGAGACGCCCAGGCCCGACTCGATGATCAGGCCCGTCGTCCGCCCGGTCGAGTACAGCGACAGCAGGGACTGGTGGGCCACGTACATGGCGGGAACCGCGAAGCCCTCGAACAGCAGCTCCGCCGTCTTCTCCCGGTTAGTGGTGGGCGACAGGGGGGCGTCGGCCAGCAGCACGGCGTGCTCCTCGGGGGCCACCCGCAGCTCCTGGTACAAGATGTGGTGCCACAGCATCTCCAGGGCGTCCCAGTCGGTCACGATGCCGTTGGTCACCACCGGCGTCCTGAGCACCCAGGGGTCCCCCGGGATGGCGTTGCCGATGTAGTAGTCGGGCACCTTGCTCGGGTCGTCGCAGCTCTGGCTCGGGATGCCCACCAGCGAGCGCACCACCACCCGGGGCTTGTCGTCGCCGGCGAAGCCAGCCTTGGTGTAGCCGGTGCCATTGTCCATCACCACAGCGGCGGTCTCGGTGAAGGCCTCCTGGCACATGGTGGGCCCCTGGGGGGCCACAGGAGACGATTTACTCATTCCCTACAGCAACGGGCAGCGACCTCCGCCTCCTCCCTACCAAACCCTTGGTCTCCTTCTCTCCTCTCCCTCTACCTCTCTCCCTCTATCTCTCCTCTCCCCCCTCTCTCCCTCTCTCTCTCCTCTCCCTGTCTCTCTCCTCTATCTCTCCTCTCCCTCTCTCTCCCTCTACCTCTCTCCCTTTATCTCTTCTTTCCCTCTCTTTCCCTGTATCTCTCCTCTCCCCCCCTCTCCCTCTATCTCTTCTCTCCCTCTATCTCTCCTCTCCCTCTCTCTCCCTCTATCTCTCCTTTCCCTCTCTCTCCCTCTACCTTTCTCCCTCTCCCTCTATCTCTCCTTTCCCTCTCACTCCCTCTCCTTCTATCTCTCCTTTCCCTCTCTCTCCCTCTATCTCTCCTTTCCCTCTCTCTCTTTCTGTCTCTCCTTTCCCTCACTCCTTCTACCTCTCTGCCTCTACCTCTATCTCTCCTTTCCCTCTCTCTCCCTCTATCTGTCCTTTCCCTCTCACTCCCTCTCCCTCTATCTCTCCTTTCCCTCTCTCCTCTCTCTACCTCTACCTCTCTCTCTCCTTTCCCTCTCTCCTCTCTCTCTCCTTTCCCTCTCTCCTCTCTCTCTCTCCTTTCCCTCTGTCTCCCTCTACCTCTCTCTCTCCTTTCCTCTTTCCCCTCTCTCTCTCAATCTCTCTCTCTCCTTTCCCTTTCTCCTCTCTCTCCCTCTATCTCTCTCTCTCTTTCTCTTCCCCTGTTCTCTTTCCCTCTCTCCTCTCTCTCCCTCTACCTTTCTCTCTCTCTCTCTCCCCCGTTCTCTTTCCCGTCTCTCCAAATTCTCTCTTTCTCAATTCTGTCCCGAATCTCTCGCCGAGAGAGAGTCTTTGTTGAGTGTCACTGTGTCCGTGACCGTCTCCCCCTCCCTCCTCAGCAGAATCTGCCCCGCATCCACCCTAAAACCCCTCCCCCGCCCCCTCCACAAGCACAGACCCACACACAGACACAGATCAACAACCCATCCCAGGCTCTGTCACCAGGGGTAACCATCCACATCTCACAATGGGCCCTTTTGACCTCGGGGGGAGCCCCAGAGCAAACAAGGTCACAGATACACCCTGGGGTGATGTCACAGGCAGGAGGTGAGGTCAGAGAGACCATAACCCCAGCTCCCGCACCCCCCACCCCAACCCTGAACAGCCTGGTCTCTTAGCCTACATGGCCTGGTCCCCCAGTCCCCATGGAAGCAAATCTCCCATTCTCCCCCACTCCCCATGGGAGCAAGGCCGCCACTCCCCATGGGAGCGAGTCCGCCACTCTACCCCCACTCCCCATGGGAGCGAGTCCGCCACTCTTCCCCCACTCCCTATGGGAGCAGGTCCCACATTCGTCACGCGCTCAGGGCTAAGACATTTTTCCTGAATTCCCCATTTGGATTTATGCATGACTGACACTGACACCCTACTCTCAACCAGTTCGTTTTTTACAACTTCTCAGATCTGCAACCATCCTCACCAATGTCCTTTCCACTTCCAGAGGTGCACCTCTGTATCTCTTTGTTAATGTCGGAGGAATACAGTGTTACCAACACAGCCAGAAACCTCCTCAAGAGTGAACAAAAACCTACAAACTCTGTCACACCGCACCCCCACCGCCTCACCCACCAGAGAAATGAACCTCCAATGCTCTTTTTAATTTGTGAGATTTAAGAATCAGGGGAGGTCATTCAGGACTGAGATGAGGAGAAATGTCTTCCCTCAGAGAGTGGGGAGCCTGTGGAATTCTCTGCCACAGAAAGCGTTCGAGGCCGGAACATTGAATGTTTGCAAGAGGAAGTTGGGATATAGTCCTTAGCATGAAAGGGATCAAAGGGAGAGCAGGAACAGGTTTGGTGATCAGAGTTGAAGGGCTGAATGGCCTACTCCTGCTGCTGTGTGTTTCTTCATCTCCATCTCCGAGGATGTTGTGACCAGTTTATTACTCTGCGTCAATTCAGACTTATCCAAACTACAGTATTGTTGACATGCCCATCTTACAAACTCAACGCCTTTTGTGTAGTCAAAGAATCATAGAATCCCTACAGTGTGGAAACACATGGAGTTCACACCTATCCTCCGAAAACCATCCCACCCAGACACACAACTCCCCCTCCACCCCGACCCTATCCGCATCACTCTGCATTTCCCATGGCTGATCTACCTCGCCTGCACATCCCTGGACACTACGGGCAATTTAGCACGGCCAATCCACCCTAACCTGCACATCTTTGGACTGTGGGAGGAAACCGGAGCACCCGGAGGAAATCCGCGCAGACACAGGGAGAATGTGCAAACTCCACACAGACAGTCGTCCGAGGGTGGAATTGAACCCAGGTCCTGGCACTGTGAGGCAGCAGTGCTATCCACTGTTCTGAGGAAGCGTCACTGGACCCGAAACGTTAACTCTGTTTTCTCCTTTGCAGATGCTGCTAGACCTGCTGAGCTTTTCCAGCAACTTCTGTTTTTGTGTAGTGCTCACCACTGTACCACCCTGAAATAAAAGCAAAGTACATAGATCTTTTGAGTATTAATATCTGCAACATTGCTAATTTGGCTTTCATCTAGAGCGAGCCCTCAGTCGCCTGTGCTATTGCAAGAGTCACTGAGATCTACAGCACAGAAAATGGCCCTTCAGCCCATCGAGTCTGTGCCAGTCAAAAGCAATCACTCTTTGAATCCCCGTTTCCCAGCACTTGGCCCATCAACTTGACATTGTAAGAGCACATCTAAATCCTTCTTCAATGTGATCAGGGCTTCTGCTTCTCCAACCCTTACAGGCAGCGAGTTGCAGATTCCCCACCACCCTCTGGGCGAAAATATTTTATTTCACAACACCTCCAAACCTCCTGCTCCTTCCTTTAAATCTGTAGCCTCGGTCATTGATCCCTCCATCAAGTTTCTTCCTACCCACCCTGTCTGTGACCCTCATAATAAGGATACATCTCAATCTTGTGCCAATCTCGAGAAGTGGACTGTGGATCATTCCCTTGGCATTTTCAGTTGAAAGCACATATCCTCTCCCCCTGCTCACCAAAGGCTCTAGCACCACGTTAAT